AGCAGTGAAACAATCAAATGCGACGACTAATTGCGCGGCTCATTGCTTTGTAACGTGCCCCTGCACGCATGGTGTTGGCCGTCCAACATTGGTATGGGAGGACATGATTATGCGTTTTTGCCGCCAACAAAAAAACAACTTAGGAATTGGCGAGACGTGGCATGCGCTATAGTGTCCATTGTGTGTGCGTGTGTACACATGGATCCGTGCTTGCAACTGACATGTGCAATCATGTTCACACATGCATCAGTCATTCTTTCCTTCTTTTTTTGGTATTTTGTTTCAAGGATTAGGCATGGCTGTCGCGAACCGATACAGTACGGTACCATACTTCTATTGGATTTTTTTTCTCGGACTTTTACGCCTGCTGAACCGGAAATACTACACCCCTAGCTAGGCCCCCCTCAGACATCAACACGCTCATGTGTGCGCGATGTGGCACGCGAACATGACGCACGCAGACATGGCTCGCGCACGCACGCCCACGCATGCATGACGCACACGTGCATGCATGCACACGGCCTTTAGGCGCGCGCTCCTGCGCTCGTGGGCACACGTGCATGCGCGCGCCTTGTACCGGACTGAACGTGTGCACGAGTGAGAGGGTGAGCACGCTCATGCGTACGTGATGCGGCATGCGAACATGATGCACGCGCGCAGACATGACTCGTGCACGCATGCACACATGACGCACACGCGCATGCATGCACGTTTCAGCACGCGCGCATCATGTGCAGGATGTGGCACGCAGACATGACTTGCGCACGCACGACCACATCAGGCACACATGACACTCGGGCACACGCACGCATGGCACTGGCAGCGTGGGGAGGATGGAAGGTGTGCTACTGTGTGTCCATTGCATCGCTTTGAAAAGCGTTCCACGACGAAGATGAGGCTTGCAGAGGCATCAGCCTTGGTCTTAAGGTTATCAAAGTTCAAAAGACTTTCCCAAAAAAGTGCTATGAACTACTATGAAGGGGTTTTGAAGATCGTGGCTTGCATGTGCAAAGGCTGCAGGGTGTGCAGATTCTCAACTATGCGCCAGCCTGTGCGCGGCAGAAAGGAGCGGTGACGCGGCAGAAAGGCGCGGTGAAGCGTGTACGTGCGTGCGGCGACGGAACAACACGTGCGCACACATGTGTGCGGCGGAACGCGCGTAAGTGGGATCCTCTCGCCGCAGTCAATGAAGACAACAAAGCACCCTGGTAGATTTCAAGCAGTTCTCTAACGGTTTTTTTTGTTTGAGCAAATTCCGCTTCAGGACCTCACGGGTCAAGCTGCCGCAAACCGGTCGGAACCTGCGCTGGTTGCTCCTTTGAGGCTGAACGGGGGCCTGTCACAACTCAATGCCCAGCTATGCCCAGCTATCCCCCGACACATGTCGCCACGCAGGTGAGGCCGCCGTCGTGCCCGCCGAGGCTTTGGAGGCGAGGATGAATCAGTGAAGCGTCGTGCCATTGATCTGTGCCTTTGAAGAAGTTTGAAAAAAACATGGGGAACTAGCCGGAGCCTGCCAGTTCTCCGCAGGCCATGCAACTTGGAAGCGATGACCGCGTGCGTGTGCGCGAACGTCAGCGACAGGCGGGGCGTGCGCGCGCGACGCCATGCGTAGGTGTGAGTAGCCTTTTTGCGCGCAACCAAATTTGCTGTTTTTCTATCTGTTTTAGTTGTGGCGACCTGTGCGTGCACCGCCCTGACGTACACACTCCGGAACACTCATGCGCGCACCCTTCCGCGCACCTACAGATGCCTTGCACATTCGACTGTCACCTTCCAAGGCCTGCGACGTACCCGGTGACTATATATAGTCGCGGGCATGCTGCGTGAGGCTGCGTGAATCGTGATACGAAGCGTGGCGTAGACGTTGGTGTCAACGCAGTCATGGCCACCCAGCTGGCTTGCGACCATTGCAACTCCATTTGCAACCGCGGCCGTGCGCAGCCCCGGCGAAGGACAAAGGCTGAAGCAGAAAGACTCAGAAAGACCGGCAAGAGCTCATAAGAGCTCATAAGAGCTCATATGCATGGCAAGGGGACAAGGGGACAAGCGCCAGGGCAAGAAGCGGGATGCCGAGGGCAAGTTCAAAGAAAGCGGTCCTTCCAAAGCAAAGTTGGCAGCCAGGACATCTCCTGGCTTGCGGGCTGCGCTGCGGGTGAGATCATACCGAACCATGCCTGTCCAGCAATGTCTGTGTGTGTGCTCTCAAGCAAAGGGTGGGCCTGAGCTGCCTGAGCTCAATGAGTGTCGCGAACATCAGAAAATCTTGCTCAAGACGCCAGAGGCGTTGTGTAACCACCTACTGGCGGTTCGATCGGCATTTCCGCAATCCATGCTACCTCCTGATACGCGCGCTTGCAGGTGCACTTTGCAGAGAAGCGGCCTTCCGAGTTCTTTTCGGCTGAGGAGGTATGCTCCACCATGCGTTTGGCGATTTGCAAGGTGTTGCGCATTGAGCCTGGGCCCTGGAAGAGTTTCTTCCGTCATCCTTGTGTTGAAAGATTGGTGACATGGATTCGGCCATGATTCAGCTTTTCCTGCCGCGGGCGAGCAAGTGCGAGCAAAGGCGCCTCAGGAATCGGGTTTCAGGAATCTGGCCTCCGCTTCAGGAGGATGGACATATTCTCCTTGAGCCTTTGGATCATGTTTCGCTGGCGGGAAGGAGGCAATTCTGTACCACTACTGCTCTCGCGCGCCAGGTGAAGGATTGCAGGGCGTCAAGACCAGGCATCCCGCGCAAAGTTTTTGCCGAGCTCGCGGAGGTCGAGTAATATGCATGTAATGAGTAATGAATCTGAGTATGAACTGAGTATTAATAGAACTCTCTACTTCAAAAAAAAGTTACAAAAGTCACACGTAACACAACTCACAGACGTCCATAAGGGGGCGCGGTATGGGGGGGGGGGGGAGGGGGGGGCTTCGGCTCGAGGCCCTGCCGTTGAACACGCGCTGCGCTTCGGCACTTACAACACATATCGATCGGTTTTGTCTGAATTTTTTTTGGGGTAATTCTGGTGGACCATACCGTGTACTTTGCTGCCACTGGCATTGTTGCTTCGGTTCACAAGGTCCCCTGGGCCCCCTGGGCGCCTAGCTCTCCTGGGGCAAACTGTGCCCGCGTGGGGGGTGTTTGGGGGGCTCCTGGGGCTCCGCTCACTGCCTTATAAGCGCCGTCCATTCTTGTCCAGCACATGAACACGTTGCCGGAACCCGTAAGGACTCCCTGAAGGTGACGCATCGAGCACGAGCACTACGTTGGCCCAAGTGGCGCGGCGTGGGTTCGGAGGTCCCATATATGGACTCCTTTCTTGGCCAGCGCGCTGCTACGACATTTTCCATGCCAGAATTCCTTCTCAGGGCGATTTCCACGGTGGTGCTGTGATGCTGCGACGGTTCCGCAAGTCTCAGAAATTGTTCACATAAAGCTGTCTGGCCAGCTTTGTTGGTTTCACTTGGCACTGCAACGCATGGACATACCCACTGGCCGAGTGGCCGCCATTGGGTTTGTCGCACCCCTTGCTTGCATCACTTGCATCAAATCGTGCTGAGGCAGTAGACAGACATGGGAGTGGTGGCTTCGGTTTTGCACGCTGGTGACCTTGTGCTTCGTCATGGCAAGGCATCGCTTGCACAGGTGCTTCGCAAGGCCTCTAACATCATGGGCGAATCTTTGAGCAATCTCTATAAAACAAAACTTCAAAGTAGATCTTGCAAAGAACCGGGAGCTTGCCTCATCTAGGGAGTTTCCTTTCAGGAGAAGTAACCACATGCGAGCTGCTAGCTACGGGACTCGGGTTTCCAGCTCCTGAAAACAGCAGCGCCAACCTTTTCTCTAGCTTCCCCTTGAATTCCTTCCTTAGCACGGTCGTCCTCATCCTCCCGAATTCCAATCTCGTGAACTTTTGCTGCTTGTCGACGTGTCCAACAGTAGCTTGCTCTTGCAACCTCATCAAAAGGGTTCCGGTGGTGCAAGCTGCAGTGCGCAGCCGAGTCGAACCTAGATGGGGTCAAGTCGTGGAAACACTTGCGGGATTCCTTGTCGGAAGTCGATGCTGATACCCCCGGCAGCTATTTGCACATTCTGCTTCGTAGTGTAGTTGCGCAGTCGCGGGGTCACTTCTTCAACGCTGTCCCACATCATTTCTGGAGCCTGGAGATCTCTGGAAGGTGCGGCTGTTTCGTCTGCCTGCCATCTGCCCAGAAATATGTGGAGCGTTTTGTTGCCTCAATTATTGCCTTTACGTTGAAAGTCGTGTATCTCAGGTGGCCTATAATTCTGACCGATCAGCTTTCCTTGTCGTACCAACCATATCTGTGTGTCATAGCTGGTGAGTGCCCGTATAACCGATCCCAGCGCATGCCGTGAGGATGTAGAGGAGGGTGATGAGCGCGAGGCTAATCGTCAAGTCTATTTTTCTGATTTAGTTGGTAATGACAAGCTTGTGTCAACGGCTCTTCCAATACAGACAATCCCAGTTAGAGCACAAGCCATCTCGAAGTTGATGGTGCGCAAGCTTTTCGAACTTGTGGCCCTCTCTGGTGACAAGATGAACTTCCTCCCAGCGCTGTACCAACTGCGCCCTTAAAAGACTCATGCTGCTTACGGTTTCAGTGGCTTGGGAGTTTAGGGAATCTGTGGTGGGAGGGGGCCAGTATGCGCATCTTGCATTACGCGCAGGGTTCGAAGATGCGATCTGCACGGACTTGAAACACTTGCACGCGTCAGTCTTTGACACGCTTTGCAAGAAAGGCGCGGCTAGGCGCGGCTAGACTCGAATTTGAAGAATCTTTTGAGGGAACTGTGCGCAGCTTCTTCCGTTCACTTAAAATGCCAGAATTGCACAATTCACAATGCTGCGGCAGGCACGCTTGCGGGTGTATAGATTGTGCAGCTCTCCTCCATTCAGCTTCATGTGCCGCAGCCATAGCCCGCACAACCGCAGATACAAGCGACATGCCGGCTAGTGCCTTTGGCACTGGTGAAATATGGCTATGCTATGCTAATCCTGTACATGCTTCATGTAAGCAGCCAGTGTACTTGCTTGGAAGCGTGCACACGAGCTGCACTGCATGTCCGAGGAGCAACGTCCCTTACTGATCTCCTGTCCACAGAAGAAGAATCGATCGCTCAAGTGGTGAGAATGATTGACTGCTGCACCCGAATCATTCACACAAAAGAACATGCTTTCTTTACAGTTCTTTCTTCTCACGCTTTCCGGCAGTTGCTTTGCAAATTCTGCCAATCTTGGGTGCTTGTCTATCCATGGCTGAAACCATTTATCACAGTCTCTATAGAACTGATCATCCAGACAAGACAGCGAAGACACCGTCTCCAGGAGCTTTCGGCATGCCTCCTCACACTGGCCCGGGTTCCTCTCCGAAAAGGTGTCGGGGCTTCCCAGGTGCTGCGTGATCTTCCATGTGAGCGTATTCAGACACCCACAAGAATGGTACACGCCTCTCTCCGACTCCGAGGCTTCCTGCAAGAACATCTTGGGGTTAGCGGAATTTTAGGGTTTTTAGGGCTAAGGCTCAGAGATGAGGGTTTTTATGTCGGGTTTAAGGTTTATTAGGTTTACTTTGGTTTAGGGCTAGGCTTCCAAGGCTTCCTTGAACAGCATGTCCATCACTGGCGAATTTGCAATCTTCCGGGCTTCCTCGGCCAGCTTGTCGAAGCTGACCTTGCCACTGTCTCCAATTAAGGCAAGGAAGCCCCACCGCGCATTCTGATCCGTCGGTAGACTCGCTCCAACATAGAAACTCTGAGGAGCGGTGGTGAAACTGACCGTCGCATCCGCTCCAGGTACTCTTTGCATATCGCGGCCATCGCCTTGGACTCCTTGGATGGTCCCTTGGACTGTCCCTTGCGGCCCTTGCACCGAGATGGCCGCGCCCGGCAAAGCTCGACCCATGTCACAGGAACCCAAGGAAGCAAAGGCCACCGCCAGCTCAGAAGCTCCTTCCACGTGGACCTTGGCCTCAAAGCCATGAGCCCGGACATCGTATGGGTGGCAGCTCTGGAGAAGCTGTACTCCTAGCGGAAGCGCTTTGCTTTCAACCAGCAAGGACAACTCCTTGCACGCATGATATCGCATGCAGGCTTGGATCAGCGCCTGCTTCTCCATGTCCGTCATCAGCTGCTGCTGCAGTTTCGTCAGACTTGCGCAGTATGCCTGCAAGAGCTGCAAGCGCACGGCTTCCAAACAAGGGCCGGCCTCTGCCAGGATCGGCAGTGCCAAAGACATCGCATATTCGTCCGTGCTCTGATAGAACGCGTCCGTTTTGGCCCAGTAATCCTCTGACTCCTGTCTCCGGATGTAGGCGGCCACAGTCGCTTGAATTTCCTCCAACCATGCCTGGAAGACTTTCTGCTCCGAATCCTGGCCGTCCTGGCCTGCCTTCTGCACCAGGGCCACGAGCGACTGAAAAGGGAGGCCAAGAACCCTTTCCATGGAACCCAGACGCATCCACGGCGAGCGCGCCAGAGCCCTCAACACCACGTGCAGGAACTCCGCAGCCCGCTGGTTCTCACCGAAGGCAGCGCAGGTCTTCATGAAGGACAGCAGGACATCTAGCAGCATAGCCTGCTTCTTCCTGTTGTCCTCCAGGGTCTTCAACATCTCCATGATCATGGCCATGTTGGATGAAAGCTCCTGGCTCAAAGCCTTCCGCTCAGCATCTTGAATCTCTTCCAGCGGCACAACCGCGGCGCTGAAACCGCGGCGCTCCTTGGCCGAGCCTGCCGCATCGGTTCGGAAAGAGAAGTCCAGCACGTTCGCTCCTGGAAAGTCGCATGCAGTCCAGGCATCGGAACCAGGTGAACCAGCAAACGTGCGCGCATCCTTGCTGGCTTTCGGAGGCCTGGAAGGCCTGGACTGCCCGGGCGGCCCGGGTGCAGTCGGGGATGGAACAAAGGTGGGCGCACCCAGTGCAGCGGGCACAGCGGGTGCGGGTAGAGGTGGTAGAGGTGGATAGGAGGTACTATACGGGGTTCCCAAAAGAGGTGCTTTTGGAGGTGCGAAAAAAGCAACCGCACCGTCCTTGACCGCAGTCGGCTCAATCGTCAGAGAGCTCTGGTTGTTCAAGGTGCCGCTCGCAGAGGCGAAGATGACTGCTAGCCCCGTCGCTTGTGGTATGAAGACTGTCTCATTCATTGGTCTTTCGTAGGGATGGCCGGACGACACGACACAAAGCCTCTTTTTCATCACCTGGCTCTCATACCAATACTGAATGTCATCCGTCAGGGACTCCAGCTCATCCTTCTTTCCAAGGAAAGGTTTGAGCAGTGCATTCTGTGCATTCTCGGGGTTTGCTCCGTTTAGGCACATGAATGGCAGAAGGTGCTCCAGCAGCTTGTCCATCTGAGCAGCTCTCTGAAGCAACTGGCGGAACCGATCATCTGCAAGGGCTTCTTCCACCTTGTCCCTGTGCTTCCAAAAGGTCTTGAGAAATGCTATGCATCGCCTCTCATCGGCACTCGGATTGCAAGTGACCCCGGAGGAAATTTGCTCAAGGCAGTACTCAAAGAACTCAAGTCGCTGGTCTGGGCTGGCATCTTCAATCAAGCGCTCGACCGACGCAGACTGAAGGAGCAGGTTGGAAGAGTGACAGGCAATGGTCCTCGCAGGTCTTGGGGCTTAGGTTTTGGCGTTTAGCTTCAACCTTTGGAACTTTAGGGGTTTAGGCGTGTCTCAAGCCGTCGCAAGCATCACACTTCAAAACGAGCAGCCCTGGCATAATCTCGACAAGCAGAGGCTCGCCGACCCCTCACCAACAATAAACTCAATGAACCCTGCAGCGCAGTACTTCCAATTCTCACCTGAGTGGCGCAGGTTGTTACGGCTTCGGGTTTGTGGTTTAGGGTTGAGGAACTGGCGGAGAGAGCAGAAGGCCACTGTCGTACAGAACAAGCCAACAGCGAAGTGTCAATGAATGTACCGTTCGAGCAGGACAAGCACGGCACAGCAACTACAGAGCAGAATAACGGCAGCAGCCAGCAGTGGGCATAGCGAGTGAGTATGGCAGAAGATACGATTGGCAAACTGTTTTAGATCTTGAGAGCATTTAAATGTCTGGCAAGTCGCAATTGAACTTCAAAAACGCATGCATTGTAGTCACAATACAAGAAAATCAACCACATCGACGCTTCAACAGCACCGGAAGCTCGCACCAAGTTTCGTGGAGGCTTCTTATCCCTAAACCTACAATGAATGAGAACATTCTGTCCGAATCTGTCCTGATGGATCCCTTGTGCAACTCGTCCCGATCGGAAGACTGTCTCGTCGCCAGTGACGCAAGGCGGTTGGCCAGCGGCATGTCGAGCAGGATCACCTGCTGATGAGACGCCACATAGCTTGCTGCCTTCCGCAGAAGAGCCATACAGTCAAGAACCTCTTGACAAAGTGGGCTAAGTGGGCTGTCCCCATGCTGTTGAGACTTCTGACTCCTGGACTCGATGCACTCAGCACAATAGACAAGGTCGCATTCCCTGCACACCAATTTCGCATAATCCTCTGCAGATTGAAGACCCCTGCTGCAAACATCGCAAGTGCCGCCAGTGCTGTTGTCACGCTGCATATCGTGTCCATAGAAGCACTTGGGCATGCAAGCCTTGTCTTGATCTGCTTGCAGCGCCCTGCATGCCTCACATTGAGGACCGATCGATGGTCCACAGCTGCCATGGAAGGACTTTGCATCTGCTTGGCCACAGTAGTACTTACCCCAGAAGCCAAGATGTACAATCTCACCCTCCCTGTTCCGCAGCTCCCGGAGCTCGCCTGGCTCGCCCCTCTCCATTGCCAGGCCCAAGCTCCGGTATCCCTCAGAGCCGCACCAAAAGGAATTTAAGCCCTCTGCTGGGCCCTCTGCTGGTCTCTCTGCTGGGCTCTCGGGACTCTCGGGGCTCCCTCCAACATCCACTTCCAGGCTTTCCTCCGTGTGCCCGCTGAGGCGAAGGGAGCACCGCATCTTGTCCTTGTGGTTGTAGTAGTTGCCGTGTGTCTATGGCTATTATAGTGATTATAGTGATCAAAAAGATGTGTCACAAACAAAAACGCTACTTTCGAAGGTTCTTCGGAGTGTCCAGGGCAGCCACCAAATTCTGGTAGCGCTGGCGAAAGCTCAGCAGAGGCGCGGCGGGTCTCGCGGGGTTGCAGCCTGGATTCTGGCGCTTGAGGGTTGGCGCAAGCGTTGCCGATCTATTGGGGGGGGGGGGGGTTTAGGTTTAGGTTCAGGGGATTAGGGGTCTTGTGGGGGTTTAGGGGGCTTCGGGGGGGTTAGGGAGGTTTAGGGCTTGGGGTGGTTTACAGTCCGACCCTGAAGTCATCCCATTCCCCCCAATGAAATGCTGGTGTCACTGGTCTCCAGGCAGTTTATCAAACAAGTTGATCAGATTGTTTCTGCCCTTCAAAGTTGTTTCTTGCATGCTTGTTTTCATTGGCGCTTGGAGCTTCTAGGCTTTGGGTTTAGAATTCAGGGCTTTTGGGGTTGGATCCGATTCTTTCTGCAAATCCCCAATGCGGACGCTAGATGTTACGACTTCTCCGCTTGTACTCCCCCAGTGATTTCAAGCAATTCAACAAAAAAAACGTTACGTCTTCAGGGTTGGACTGTAGGGCTGTAGGGAATTCAAGGCCTTCGGTCAGCAGGCCGATCACCTTGTTCAGGTCCTCGATCACACTACTCAGCCGGCGGTTCTGTGTGTCGCGGGTGAATAGGTCACGTAGCCGTGTTTCTGTCCTAGGTCGGCCATCTAAGCCCTGCGTTAAAAAGACTCCTCAATGAGGTCCTCTTCCACGCGCACATGCGAGGGCAACAAAAAAAGGACATCTTTTGAACACACAATATAAGTACTACTTTAAGAGCCTCGTATCCAGGACATCCCTCCCGGAATCTCGGCCACGGGCTTGCTGAACACGAGCTTGACTTCAGGAACCCTGGACTTCAGCCAAGCCTGGACAAGTGCCAAGAACTTGCCGGACGTCAGGGGTTCCCCGTATCCAAGATCCGTTATGTGGCCACCGCCACAGATCTGCCAAGACTGGATCCTCTCGTTTGCTTTCCAGATGAGTGGCATGCATGCTGGCTGGGTCTTGTCCATTCTCTCCACTCTCTCAAAATGCTGGAGCAAGTCCATGAGCTGAAGCCTTGGCACATGCACCTCTTCCACCAACAGCCGATCATCCTTGCCAAATGCAGAGTCAATCAATGCTTCCATGACCAGCAGAGACATGCCAACCTCTGTCCGGGAAGGGCGAATGCCGAGGGCCCTCTTGATTTTGTCAGCTGCCTGGCTTGCATCGATTGTCAAACTGGCGCCTTTGTACGTGTCTGTTGCTAGCCAATTCCCATGGACAACGACAAGCAGGGCATGCGTCAAGTCGGACTGGAGACGATCATCTTCTTGCCTCCACCGGCAACGCCATGCGTGAAGGAAGTAGGAGTACACAGGTAGGGAAAGGCTGGACAGGCAGCCAGCCAGTACGGTCGCAAGGCCCACGAGAGCCGCAACGAACTCGGTTTCCTCGAAAAGCGCCGTAGACAGGCCATGCCGGCCAAAGTGCCCTCCAAGACCCTTCCGAATCTCATCAAAGAGCTTGTCAAAGTTGAAGGGGACGGTCTCAACATCGAAGAGAGACAGCAAGAGTAACGTCCACATGATCCCTAGCCAAAGGCTCTTCTGCAGCATCTGTGTTGAGAAATCGGTCGGTATGGACAAGACATCGCTCATTTCATCCTGCTTCTGGCCAGGCCTCGTGACTGCACCACTCCACAGCATGACCTGCCACGCAGGTACGGCAAACATTGCGAAAGTCAAGCCGAAGAGACCTGCGGTGAGACATGCAACAGCAAAGCACGTTGCTCGCAGGATGAACATGCCACGCTCGGGCTTTCCATCCCGGACCCATACCACCGTATGCCCTCGCAGCTGATCTCCATCCAAAGCCAAGACCCACCGCGTGGAGACTTTGCGCTGGCCCTGGTTCTGCATCCCCTGGGCTCTTGAGTTGAGGAATTTGCGTCCATAAAACATTAAAGGGCTTCATCTGTAAAATTGGTTTGTTAAAGGCACATGTTGCGCACGGATTGGAACCCAGCCTCGTCCACCAGCTGGATGGCACCGCGGTTGTAACGTCGCAGGTGCATGTAGTCTTGCTGTGGGTACCGGTCGCCTAGGATTGCCGGTGCAGCGACGGGTGCCATCCCCCTTGGCCCGCTGGAGTCTTTATGCCCTAGCTTGACGCTGCCTCCATGGAAAGTGAGCCGCTCTGGACTGTCCTGCCCGGATCCTAACGTCGACTGACGGCACCACTCTCCTTCCAGATCCCAGATGCCCACGTTCTCTTCCCAAAGCTTCGTGAAGCAAGCAAGGGAAAGCCACCCGCTGCGACGGACGACAAGCAAGACCACGACGGCGTAGCTGAAAAGTCCAGCAAGAACGCAAACTCTCCACGTCGCAACCACGCTGCTGGCCCGTATGCACACAGCCAAGGTGCACGCTGCAGCTATTGCTTCCGACAAACGGAAAAGTACCACGACACGCAAACTTCGCTGGGTCGCAAATGCTTTGCGGCTGTAGTAGTCATTCTGCGGGATCAGCGAAAAGCAACATGGCACAAGATCTCCCAGTCCACACGGAATTTCTTCCTCCGCTGCAAGCATTTCGCCAGAAACTGCCACACCAGTCATCACGGCCTTCAGAGAGAAAAGCACGGACACTAGCAAGAAGCACATGTCCAAGGAGCTGTTGAGGGGTACAGTCACAAGGCCAAAGATCCCCACCAACAAGCTGAGGTAGGATTCAGTGGCCGCTTCACGGTAACCTTTTCGGTACAGCTCTGTGACAAGCATGCCCTCGCACCATGCTGCACGACTTGCTTGGATGGAGTCCGACTGCAACAATGCTGCCACGAGCAGCTCCATATCCCAGCTTCCTCGGCGCAAGGAGTCAATCCACAGCATGCTGATCTGCATGCCGACTCCGAAGAACACAATGGTGGCAAAGAAAGGTTGCCCAGCTCGGAAGAAGATGATGCTCTGCGTCACATCCATAGTTGTGTCAAACCTCAAAAAGTGTCTGGAAGCCACCTTCAAACAAACATGGTTTTTGGCTTTTGTGGGACTTTCAAGAAGCTAAGAACAACACTCCTTTTTGAGGTAAAAGAAGCCAAATCCCTCCAGCAGTGGCCAGAACATCCTTGCAGGCCATCCAAGTGTCCGGGATGCAAAAGAACCTTGGGTTGCTGTTGAGGAACTTGAACTGAGCTACCGACATGTGTGCTTCAGTGTACTTGTCATGTGGCTCACGACCCCTCAAAGCTACTGCAGTCACCCTGGTTCCCCCCTAGTTCCCCCCCCTAGTTCCCCCCTGGTTCCCCCCTGGTTCCGCCCCGGTTCCCCTAACATGCAACTAGGGAGCTGCAGCCGATCCGCCTTTGGCCCTTGGACGTTCGACTGCCTTTCTGGCATGGGCAGCATGAAGCCATGAAGGAGAGACAGGCAGCCGTAGAGTACCTTACGGGGTTGGTATGAAGCTGAAATTTTGAAAGCAAAAAAGGACACTTATCGCAGCGGTCATGGAGTTAAAACTCCTAAGAAGAGCCCAGGAACACCACAAAGAAGGGGGGCCCAGTCGGGCAGCCAGCCAAACAGCAAGCTGGAGTAGGCCTTTGAGCACGACCACACCAGGCCGTGCTTGGTGCTCAGTGCCCATACCTGGGATATGGGTTTTGGGTTTTGGGGATCAACTTCAATGGGTTATAAGGGTTACAGTCTGGCAATAGGACCCGGATAAGCCCAGGTATGCCCAGGTATGCCCAGGTATGCCCAGATACACCAATGCAGAGGACGTTGATGATGAAGAGCACCAGGGAAGTGAGCCTTGCCATCGCGGAGCTGGTGCTCAATCCATCTTTCACGAAGTCCATGAGCACGGAGCTGAGGAAAAATCGCCTTGAGCAGATTTCAAGCTTCTGCACCACGGCCAAGATTCCGTCAAAGGTTACTCGCGCCAAGCCGACGCAAGTGAAAAGCACTAAAATCAGAAGAATGTGGGTGGGCACCTCGAAGGGCAGGCCTTCCAAGTGCAGGAGTTCTCGTGCACGCAGGAGGTATTCAACCCACGGAGAAGCCCAGACGTGTTTCTGCAAAAGTGCTTCTTGATCCGAGACCCAACTGGATGCCAGGAGGCTCATTTGAAGCACGGTGCAGAACCAGCAGTGCAAAGCAACATAAAACATCAACATCAAAGCCCTCGAACAGAGCCGGAACAGGCGCATGCGCTCACCCCAGCTTGCACGGCAGAAAACGAATGTGAAAACCTCCGAAGCTTCCTGATCAGCCTCAGCTCCTTCCACGGCCCCTGCGCTAGCCCCTGGGCCAGCTAGAGGTCTTGGGAGAGGAGCCACTCCGCCCAGGCCCCGCAAAAACTTGGCCACTGCATCGAAGGACTCGGGCCCTATGCTCACCCCGTATGCACACTCTGGCAGGTCTCCACCACCACAAAGTTCCAGCGGCACTTCGTCCTGCACGAAGGTGATGGTTTCGGCCTTCTGCTTGACGGCCTTATCTGCAGCGTGTGCAAGCTCACGAATTTTCTGCCTGTCGAGAGATTGCTGCTGAAAAGAAAACAGCGAGGCCAGATTGCAGAGCGCAGCCACCATCGCAACGAGCCAAACGTAACAATACCACTGCAAGAGCGCATGAAAGCCCGATGAGAACCTTGAAAGCACAGCACCAAGACTTGTTGAGCTCATCAGTTTGCTGTGCCACGTCCCAACGAAGCTGCCCAAGACTGCATCGGCAAGAGCATCCGTACATCCACTCCAGCATGCCTTGCCAGTTTCATAGGGAACCGTATCCTGTGTGCCGTTCACAAGGGGAGCGCAGCCTTTCTGCCAACCAAGATGCAGATGCGGCTCCTCCTCTCCATCGCTGCCATCAGACTCGGACCTTTTGGCATCGTAGAGCTTTAGACTCGCGCCGGCGTGAGCACGATGAAGAGCAGGAGTGGGCAGCCAATGAAAAAAGAGCACGGGGGCGGCGCAAAGAGCACCCAGAGCTGCCAGGCAAACCTTTGAGCGCCGGGCTCGCGGAATCAGCTGCTCTCGCTGCTCTCGACGCACATCTTGATATGAGAACCATGGCATTTCGACTCAAATTCTGAATGTGCTCTGTGCTCTGTGTTTCTACGGACTTACCCGACCTGATCGTGGCTCCCCCTTGCTACGCCTAAGCACTCTAAACAATTCTCACGTCCTCGCATGAGCAAGGAGGGACTGTTGGGATATATCTGCATTGCCAGAATTGCTGGAGGCCACGGAAGCTCTGAAAAGAGATCTCTAGCTCTTAGAATATTCTTGCAAGATGCTCTTGGGTCGAAAATGGGGTACCTATGGTACATTCGCGACCCTCCAATAACCTTCCAGGCAGTGAGTGTTTTCTAACAGGTCTTCTGACATTGAATCACTTTCGCCGCTGAAATTGCTTGAGCCTTTTGGGGCTGAAAACAAAAACCTGGCTTGCTTCACCCCATGCTTTGCCAGCCATGGTCCTAAATCAGCAAAATGCTCACCTAAGTTGCCGAAGGACTGCAATGCACAACATGCACGCGCTGAGACAGAGCACATCCTGCAAGATCATCCAAGAGGAGCCCGAACACCTTTAGTTGCGAATTGTATCCAATGCGCTTGCGAACGCCTCCCTGAAAGGACACCGGAGCGAGCGGGCGCACACAATGGATGCAACAACAGCTAAGTGGCCACAATGGGTTGACCCTGCCACGTGTCACATGACAATGACAGACCGTAAGCAAATCCGAAAAGCAAGTCCAAAACTCCGATCAACAAGAACATCCAGCCGTGTTCCTACAATACGACGGGCGGAGATGCTCCTTCATGTGTGACCATGAAACCACTCCATACAGCACGTGAATCTTGAATGACTTGCACACACAACACTCTGTAGATCACACCCGGTAAGGTCCTGGGGGCTGTCGAAAAGTAGGACTTCTCAGACCAGCTTGCAAACCACCAGACTCTCTAAACTCTTGCTTATGTTTCAAACGTGTCTGCGCGGTTACCTCCCAAACGCTCGCCTGACTTGACTATCGAGAACAAAAAGATCTTTGTTTCATTTCTGAACGTGCCTTCGGGCTTTAAGTGCCAACGACCCGTATAAAAAACTTGATTTTCGGCGCGACCAACAGCACCTGCGTTCAGCAGCAGCGGCTCATCCAAATCACCAGGGAGGTCCTTCAGAACCGACAAGGGTATCAGGGCTTTGGGTCGTTGGGTTTTGGGAATTCAGATGTTACCCTCTCTGTCAGGTCTGTAACTCAGTAGCGCTTGCGGTAGTGTTTTGTTGCCGTTCAGGCCCAAAACTAAAGGAATTCATGTACAACGATTTTTCGCCGTAGGAAGCAGCCAGGAGCAAATCCCAAACTTACAAGGCCTTTCTTCTTGCTGCCATAGGAAAGACGTGCTTTGAGTACGTGCTGCCATGAACCATCTAGTCAGAAGAGACAGTGTCAAGCCTGAAGGGCCAACCTCTACGGCTCTTCAGGCCTATAGGTTTTAAGGATTAGGGGAGTTTAAAGCTTTAGGGTTTTCATGTCTTAGAGCAATGCATAAAGCGGCTCAGATCGAAACTGAGGCGCCCCTCACCACGTAGAGCTCACGTGTTCTGCGGTTCTGGTTGTCTTGTTCGGATCGCAGTTGGCTTCTAGGACAGCAGCCCTAGCACCCTTACACACTCCCTTCAGAAGGCTTCGACAAGCACAGCTTCCGGAACTCCCCGACTTTCCTGGATAGATATGCTCAATCATACCCAAACCCCGAACAGGCTCCAAACTCGAACAGCAACGGGCGCGCTAGTGAAGCCCTAAACCCCAAACCCCACGGCTTGAGCCGCCTGAGACTTGAATCCCCGAACCCCGAACCTGCTGTGGAGCTCGCGCAGCTTGGAGGTTAACTATCAGGGCCTTCGCACGTGATGCTAGGGCCTTCGGTGTATGAGAAGCATAAACCACGCCTTCGCACTTTGCATTGGGACTTTTTGGCTTGGAATGGGTTGGGCCGGTTCAGACCATAAAGTTCCCCGAAATCTCCTTAACTGCCCATTTCGTGACCTTGCCTTTTCTGTTACAGAGGCGTTTTTCTGAACCCCCACACCCAGCCCCAGCCCTCCCTCTGCTCCCTCTAGCCCCATGAGTTGACGGTGCACAGTCTCATGGAGAAGCGCAGGGCCGCAGTTCACATAGTCCGACATAGCATACGTGACAGAGCGTGCGACAGCCACGTCGGGGTCGATCCCTTTCACATGGGAGCTCGAGAAGGAGAGGTGCAAGCTGCAAGCTCGTGGAAGTGCTACATCAAAACACGCGAACACCCTGGGCGCCATTGGGGTTTGTATTTAGCTTAGGGATCTTAGGGATCTTCTCGTCCCTGACAGGACTTGCTCTGCGGATACACGGCTCTTGCCTCCGCCACTCGCGTGTAGGCCTGCGAAGCTCTCAAAAGTTGGGGGGTGTAGGCTATAGAGTTTGGATTTTAGGCTATATCCTCCAAAGCATCCCCACACCACGACCCTAAACCCTGAGTCCCAAACGTCTAGGACAGCGAAGAACCCTAATAGCACCCAAGCCGCAGGCTCCGCTTTTAAGCGCTCCCCACTGAGGTGTTGCTCGCTCAGGAAATATATAAAGCCACTCCCCTGTACAGGCCAGATCGCCCAAGTTGGGCTACACACTCCTTCCCCAAACCCTTCCAAACCTGAATCTTCGGATATCCTAATAAACTTTCCTAAGCCCCAAACCCTCAGCTCGACAGAGCCCTACGATATCCTAACATCGTGCCCGGCGAAGCCTCGCTGCCCACGATTCTGCACACCTGGTGCGTGGGCAACTCTGTACCAGCAGGGTTTCGAAGTTTAGGAAGTTTAGGAGCATACACCCCAAAATGCTAATCCCCTGTAGACGTTGCTTCCAGCTGAAACCCACCAAAGCACGACATTGCCCATTCGGCTTCGGACGCTGCATCCCGGACACATCCCGGACACACGAGCGGACACATGGGCCAGAAGAGGAACACACTGGACAAGACCGGACACACTCCCACACAATGGGGCGGACACACCGGACACAGCCGGACAAATTCGGGACACGCCACAAATCGGGAAGCGGACACACGCTAAAACCACACCCGGATACACATCTCAAATGCTCATCAGGAGACCCATAGGAGATGGAAATAAGTACGCGTGCTAAATGTATCTTTTATGACCTGCAGCCGGTCAGCCGGTCTCAGCTAGACAGCTTTCGTTTCTCTGACAACAGGACTCGTTGCTTCTCCCCGCGATCCTCGAGAAGCCGAAAACTGCTTTTGGATGTTCAAGCACGGAAAGCAACGGACCTGGCCCTCCAACTTTACGAGAAAGCTGAATCACGGCCAAGACAATGTAGCCCAGAGGGATCAGAACCAAAAGGTAGATCCAGTCGTTCATGGCCTCAGTGTTGCACCAGTACACCCGCACATGCACCCTCACTTCTGACCAAGGAGTTCCATTCCCATCGAGGAGCTCCAGACCAATCGCCAGCCGACAGCAAGATCCCGCTAGATGCCACAGTACAACTGCTGCAAGCTGCAACAGCGGCAGCGGCCAGGGCATCCGCAACCCAGCTTACAATGGCACTCCACGAAGTACATGCTTGATTCGCGTTCACACGCTTGGGAATCACAAGCTCAGCGGCTCAACGCGCAGGTTTGCTCTTTAAGTTCTCCGCAAAAGGCCATTGCATTCTCAGCTATGTCTCTTCTGAGAGCTACACACCAGGCCTTCCAGGCAAACGTGCTGCCGCAGCTTTTTCGACCGAGCACTGAAGAGCTCTGTCATAGTATAGGGCGCACCGGAATGCTCGGAATGCCAGCTGAGGCTAATCTCAGCACAGCACACAGCAGCTGCCCGGAGCGACATCTCAACTAAGCGAACGGCCACCGCGTCTTTGCTCACCTCCGAAGGCAAGCTTTGTGCTCAGATTTCACAAGCCGGGCCAGCCACAAAAACGCATGAGCCCAAAACTCGCAACTACCATGCACCTTCAAGTATGACAGTACTTTCCCAAACATACAACGGACTCAGCATGAATCGAAGGCTTCGGAGACCTGGTGCGGCTCTGCGGTACCTCCATCGAGTTTTTCTAAGCCATAGCTATAGCTGCTCTAGCCCGAAGAAGAACACATTGGTTAACATCTCGTTCAACTGCACGCCTGTAGGGCTGACTTGGTTGCGATAAACTTCAGCAATTTCAGAAACCATCATCCGAAGCATTCGACTCCTCGTTTAAGTATTCTGATGCTTCAAATTGGCCTCTATTCAGGAATTCAGAAAAATCGAACATGAAGGTTTAACGTCCCAAATCAGCCCCTTGCATGCTCTTGCTATCAACGAGGAACGACGAGAATACGAAAGAAAAACTCCCAGATGATGGGCCACACTTAGTTGCTCATGTCCATACTTTGAGAGGAACGCCAATTTACAGTTCCACTTTTCAGAACGGCATGGCCGCCATAGCCCAGTACAGTAGTACGTGGTTGCTGCGTCTGAAACATGCTTGATGTCTAGTATTGGCTTGCAATTAATTACCTCTCTCGCATTTTGGTCAAACAAAGTCCACGTTTCCCAACGTGTTGTGCCGAACATCTTGCCGGGTGCATGACATTGCAATGACTAGCCTGTCTAAAAATAGCTAAGAAGGAAACATAGAGCTGAGCCATGCAACAGAGGAGCGGAAGGCTGCCCCGCTTCCCCGGGACAAGCCAGACATGTCACCTGAAGAACCGACCACAACTCAGCCCGGAGCTTCGCGCAGGCATATGTTAGAAACTACGATGATGTCTGGTGAGCGGTTCTGGTGCGGTAAATTCAGAAGAAGTGGGCTGTAATAGGCAGTGGAGCCAGCGCTCGCAAGAAACACAGTGGGCAGCCCCTTGTCGTGAGGGCTGGAAATTACATCCACGTCCCAAGTGCCATCCAACCCTACGCCGATTCATCCCAAAAAACTTCCCCCGAAGCATCCTCGGCCTTCTCATCGGCGTCTGCGAGCTGGTTGTCCATCATGGACAGCTTCTGAAGCGTGGAGTTCTCCTGTAAGGCCTTGCCGAAGGCCTGCGGGGCTTCCCCCAAAACAGGACACGCCCACCGTTGTCGGAGGAGCAGTCAGATCTGTTTGTTCTAAAGGGATGACCTGACAGAGCCACAGTAGTAAAGACATCAGAGTTGAAAAGCATCCTCCGCACAGAAACCACAACAGGATTGGACAGCTAGCTGGCGACCCAGCACATGACACATGACACAAGCTCGGCCTGCCCTGCTTCGGCTCCTCGTTGTTCATGAGAGCTCGAGGAGGCATTTGCTGGGCTTGAGTGCGTTTGCCAGGGCCTGTCGTCCCAAGAGCGAAGCACAACCAAGCCTCTTTGTGGTTTCGCAAAAAAAACGCATGGGCTTGAGGGCCTGCCCTCCTTCAGCGCCAATGCCGTTGCTGTTGACGTAGAGCTCGAGGAGGCTTGTCGCCGCACAGGCACATGACTGCAGTTACGATGTCTGATGCGAAGTGCCGGTGTGGGAAAAATCAGCCCAAGTGTGTGGTTTCATAAGCAGCGCCTCCAGCGCTCTTAAGGAACGCGAGGGCTGGAATTACAGCTGCGACTTCAGGCACATGCACACCGATGCCTCAGATACCTCCCTGAAGTTCACCGAGCCTTCCCCCCAGCATCTCCGAGCTGGTTGTTTTCCAGGACCAGCTTCTGGAGTGTGGAGTTCTCCGCCAAAGGCCTCACCCCAACAGGAAACACCCACTACAAACGGAGGCTGAGGCCATGAGAACTACTTGAAAGGATCACCCGGCAGCGCCCCGAAACCACACAAAAGCCATGGGAACTAAACGTCATGGAACCCACAAGTAGCTAGACCTAGAGGACCTAGAGCTGGCAGCATGGCGCCACCCGGCCAGGGCCTGCCCCCTCTTCTGCTCCGATGCTGTTGCTGTCGACTCGGAGCTCGAGAAGGGCTTTGTTCGTCTTGAGCCCATTTGCCAGGGCCTGCACAGGTTCTCCAGAAATGTCGCTCATGCAAAAAATAGACCGGGAACCTCGCACGCGCGCGCGCGCGCGCCTACGTGGAGACGTGACTTTTGCATGCGAAGTTCCGAAAAATCACCCAAGCACTAATCATGCTGCCTGCGCTCCGGCGACTCCCAGCTGGTTGTTGGCCAGGACAAGCTTCTGCAGTGTGACGTTGCCCTCAAGCCCCTCTGCAAAGGCCTGCGCGTTGGGACACGGCACAGGGTCTCGCCAACGGAAGGCCCACGAACATGTGGGAGAACGTGTAAATGCTAAAATGTAGCACCCAGACATTTCGGTCCAACAGAACCGATTTCACCGTGCTCCCACGGCAGTCACACCAGACAAGCCAGCGCCCAGCTTTGGTCAGCCGTGCAGAAGCAAAAAGCGAGCTGGCAACACCGCGGAGGACAGGGCACACACCCTGGAAGGCCTGCCCCCCTGCTGCGCCGATACCATTGTTGTTACGTTGAGCTCAAGCAGGCTTTTGTTAGACTTGAGCGCAGAACCCAGGGCCTGCGCAGCTTGCCAAGGCTCCACAGACATGTTGATATTTACCCAAAATCCGCCGAGGCCGTCGGCCTGAGGCGTGAAGGTCTAGGGAACCTTAGATAGGCCGCTCAACCCCCTGCCAGGGCACGCCACAAATCGGGGCCGGTTTTTCTTGACATGGGGACGACGACGCCCCCCCCCACCCCTACCCCTTACCCCTTTACACATCCCTTTCTCCTCAACTACCCCCTCCACCACTCTTCCCCTCCTAACCCACCCACCCCTCCATCGTCATGATTCTTTGTGGCACCCCCTGGCCCTCTCCCGCCCCCGACCCCCCTTACCCACGTGAACCCCTAATTCGCCTCCAAGGCTTCTTCGGGTTAGCGCTTAAATTATCATCTCTGCTTTATAAGCCCTCCTCTGCTCGGCGAGGGACGCAATTTGGAAGTCAAAGGGGCCTTCCCTCCAACACCTCCGAGCTGGTTGTCGCTCATGTCCAGCGTCTGGAGAGCGGAGCACTCCATGACTTCGGCAAAGGCCTGCGGTTCCCGGAACATAGTCCTATGCCATTGAGGACAAAGCCATCACAGTTAAGTATCATCCTCTGCACCGGGCACACAAGAAGGCCTGCCCTCCGTCGGCTCCAAGACCGTTGCTGCTGACTTCGAGCACAAGGAGGCTTTTGTTAGACTTGAGCGCGCACGCCAGGGCCTGCGCAGCTTGTCGCCCCTTGTCATGAGGGCCACATCTGCATGACTCTACATAAAAGTACACCAAAAAACACATATTGTATGAATGTATGTTAGATGTACATATATTTACAATTATTTACATGTGTAATGCCGATTCCATCACCTCCCTGGCAACTCCTTCCCGCCTTCCCTCCGGCGTCTCCGAGCTGATTGAAGGGCATTTGCAGCTTCTGGAGCTTGGAGTTCTCTTCCAGGGCTTTCGCCAAGGCCTGCAAGGCTTCCCAAAAAAGCATGAGGGTTACGGTTACGGGCAACGCCATAAGACTTGTTGAAGGAGAACCTGCTTCAGCGCCACATGAACAGCCTAAGGCCATCAGAACTTTACATCATCCAGCGACGGGGGCCTGCCCTCCTTCTTCTCCGATGCCATTCATGCCGATACTCAGGCAGAGAAGGCTCTGGTTGGACTTCAGTGCGTTTGCCAGGGCCTCTCCAGCTTGCCCCCACGAATTGCTCGTTACGGTTCATGTGACGGAAGACAAGTTGACGCAAAGCAGAGATTGATACCCTCGTACTTGAACCTACGTCACTGTTGAAAACGAAGACTGGCAAACATCTACGCGCTTCCACTCCTATCCGATGGAATTGGGGGGGCCGAAGTCCAACATGTACTTCCACTGCACTTTGCAGCAAAACTTGTTCCCAACCATTCATTTGTGAAAAGCCCCGATCCCGCCACCATGCCAGAAACCAGAGGCAACATGACTCAACACCATGAAGTATTGGCCCGAGTGGGTTTTGAGGTTCTGGCGGGCCCGTGCATTCGTTCCGTGGCCCAGGGTTCTGTGCAAGAGCCCTGTCAGGAACCGTCGCACGAGCTTCCGACAAGTAGATGTTTCGGGGGCAGAAGATTCTGCCACCAACGCGGAAGGTGTCTGATGCAATTGAAGCCCGGCGCAACTTTCAACAATCCCAGTTAACGCCATCTTTGGCTTTGATTGATGGAGGTCCGAGCGTTGTCGGGAGGCCTCTTGCCCCAGACCCTAAACTTCCGCGAACGACTCCGAACCTCCCCATGTCCCTCTACTTTCCCCTTGCGGTCGGCTGGATGCCCCACGGACCCAGATGGTGGAGGAACGAATGGGAGTTTAGGGCCTGGTTTTTTTTGGGGGGGCGGGGGAGGGGGGGACGGGGGGAGGGGATGTTCAGTAGCCAAATCCATTTCCCTCCAGGCACGTGGGGTACTTCTAGCGTGCAGCCTTCACTTCAAGGAGTTCGAGAACACATGTACTTTCGGGATCCACGTGGTGGTTGAATTTTCATCAGGGCTTTGGTCCCTGGAAATCTGTTAGCTTCCTAGTTTTGGGGTTCTTGGAGATGAGGCCCTTCTCACTTCCTGGAGGCCGCAAAACGCACATGTGCAAATGGCCTAGCAAGTGCCGCGGCTGGCAAACAACTTCGAGCCAGCAACATTTGCTACATTTTTTTTATTCCAGTATTGTCAGCACATTCATTAAGTAGTAGTATGTTCATTGTAATTGCTGATATTTGATGATTATGTCCTATTGCATTATTGCATTTTATGTTCGCATCTCTCACTTCTATTCGTATATAACGATGTGGGCATTTTCGCATCTTTATATATACTATAGCATTGCTATATTAACAAATTCTATATCATTGTATCATATAAAATTCTCTCTAGTATACTATTGTAGTAGTTGTAGTACCATATTCTTCTGTATTCCTATATTGTCCCAACAACACTGCTGGCCTTTGCCCCCTCGTCTCCGAGCTGGCAAAGGTTAACTTGAGGAATTGAAGTGTGATGTTCACCTCGAGGGCCTTGGCCAAAGTGACGACCTGCAGCAGTTTCCACGCAAAAACACCGTGAGACACCCATGACTGCAGACCGTCTAGACTTGAAGAGCTCGACTCAAGAAGCCAGAGCTCGCCAATTGACGAAGGAATGGCAGAACTAATGGCACCTCGTGTTGCCAGCTAAACATGTTTGAGCGTTGGCCATTAACGGAACTCGTCGCGCTCACCGAGTGAACTGTCATGCTTGGTGTTCAAGCACGCGGCTTGGCGACCTCTACCCAGCAAGATAAGAACAGACGATGGTAACAACCGCGACCTTGGTTGGCCATGGTTTGTGTTCATGTCCTGCCACACCGACGTTGGCCGCTTGAGCACGAAATCCGGATATTTTAGACAAGGATGCCTGATGGACGCGTGAAATCCCTAAGCTGTGCGAGTTGAAGCCCCCCACGGCCTGGAGGGGCTCGAGCGCATGCTCAGAAATATCCAACTCAGCCTCGCCATTGGCCTCCAGGCTATCCATCAGTGCCTGGAATGCCGATGCCACATCCACAACATCATCGCATCTAGGGGCTTTTCCATGTCAAGAACAACAAAAAACGAAGCCGCGGATGATGCCATCAGTCGCGCCTGGAAGCTGGGGCCTTCAGTGCTGCAGTCTGTACTCCCTTCCATGCCCTGGCAGATGTCTTACAGGCTCGAGCAGCCCTGCACACCCAAAGTGCCCAAACACTGGAGCCTGGACTTGCTATGAATCCAACGGGATCCTGACCCGGGCGAACAACCTACGAGCGCGATATATAACGTCAATTGTAAGCCCTACAACAGCTGCAAGATCCCATAGCTCGTAACGAAACCCTTTCACTAATATCAAGCGGCAAAGGGAGAGGACAGACGACAGTAGTTTCTACAGTAGAGGGCTCGGGATAAGTAGGCATGGTCAAGCAATGTCAAACCTTACCCCTTACGCTCCGTCAGCAGGGCCTGGCCTTTCGTTCAACGAACCGCTGTTTCCAAGGCCCCAACACCTACCCGAGGAGCAAAGGCCACGCAACGAAAACTGGCTAGCCAAATTGCTGCTGCAGGCTGCTACTGATGCAAGCTGCTGTCTGAGGGAGGTGTGGCGATGGTGAGGACTCAAAACTGCAAACTCGTGCTGGGGCAGAGGTTGATGACGCTGAGATGAAGATGAACATGTTTATGGCGATGCTCAAGTTGCTCAAGACTCCGCTGCGACGCTGCAAGATGGAAGTGCCGATGGGAAGAAGGATATGATGATGGCGCCCCGAGAATGATACTCTAAAGATGCCGCTGATTCTGTACTATGACAAAGGATGACGGCACGACGCTGGTGCATCTACACCACAAGACACCCATGCATTTTAGCTGTGCAAAGGGTCCCAGATGTGTCGATTAAGCAGCCCATACAGGTTTGCCATGGTGCAAGTAGGTACGAGGATAGTGCTCCCTGATGCTCCAGATGCCAACTTGAAATTCCAACAAACATCCAAGCCAATAGCAACATCAGTGACCTACGAGTACCGACCGGTGCATCCGCCATCGCTTCCATACATTGCCATGATTGCCTAGATCATCCGAGATCTACATGCCGACAAGATTCTCGGAATCGTTCTGAGTCAGTCGTTCCTTCTTTTCCTCTCGCCGTCGGGATCCTCTCTCCCACGGGAGCGGCCTGGCCAATACATCGGCCAACGGAGGGCCCGGGTGCATACCTGGGAACGCGCCGCGAGGGAACGCGCCACAAATTCCCGGGACGTGCGGCTCAGCGTGGTGCTGTGACTGCTGTGCTCACTGTGCTCACTGTGCTCACTGTGCTCTCCTTCTTGTCTCGGATCTCCTCGCTCTCCGCGATGCCGTGTGCCGAGCGCCGGCACAGAGAGGAACCCATGTTGGGAGGCACGCCTCTAGGGGCTTTTTTGCGGAGAACACTTTATGTGCAATGGCATTCACAAAGGCCGCTCTCTGCTTTAGAACTCCCTTCTCTCAACTCATAAATTACAAGCCACCCAAGTCCACACACTGCTCTTTGGCATGCTCTCCGCACGCAGTGTAGACCGGGCACCCAGCCTGTGAGAGGTTTGACATCGGATATGCCGCACATGCCTCTCTCAGAGACTCAGAGGCCGCCCTCCCCATCAGACCTCTTCAGGTACCCATTGTTTTCGAGTCGGTGCAGAAGCGGCCGATGCTCTCTGAAGAAATCCGAAGGCTCCCCTTAAGCTCTAAGCTGTCGGAGTTTTTCACAGAGAAATTGAAAAACAGGGGAATCACACAGCAGAGCTCGCAAGGCTCGCATACGGTCATGGCATGATCTGCCCAACAAGAAAGCGAAGCAAAACAGACCAACTCGAGTTCAGGGCCGCGAAAGCTAGACGACACGCCGTTTTCTCACGCTTCCTGCAAAACGACCCCGGCATGGTCGGGCTAACCGAGGAATGGGAAGCTTGTTGGTCACGGAGTCTCGCGTGTTTAAGTCGGGACTTATAAGGCATAAGGCCCATTGAATGGGCTATAATGGGCTGCTGCGCTTTGAAACTCAGAGATGGGCCGACTTTCTCCGGCCCTGTCAGCGGATGTGCAAAGAAAGTCATCAGTCGCAAGGGCCAGCACGTTGCACTCGGAGAGGGACGGCCATGAAGCCCCACTGCACGGTGAGGCAGTGTGGAGGCTAGGCTAAGGCGGCTAAGATGACATGGCAAGCTCTGTTCCTTGACCTTCGCGTCTGAGGCCTTCGGGTGCTACTGATCCTGGACACGCCTGTTGTCCTTTTAATGGGGCACTGGATTTCTCCCCCCCAAAAGACAACACTTCGAGCTCACCGGTGATGTTTTCGGGGTTTAAGCTCCCATGGACTCGCCGCAAGCGCCGCCGCAAGCGCCGGCAGCGGACGTGCCTCTTGATGCGACCAGACATGTCCCAAGCCTGTGCGTTCTCCAAGCTGAAATGATCGGCATCAAAGAGGTGGTACGCCGTTCGCTTGGAGAGCTGGTAGTCCCAGGATGCAGCTAAGCGGCCATGTGCACAAAGCCACGAGCCTGAAGGCCGCCCCTTGGCCCCAGCGGTGCAACAAACTCTTGCTCGAAGACATCGAGGCGAAAGCAGCTGGGTGCCTTCAGCGCTTGGGTGAGGCTGCGGGGCACCGCGGTCAAGACCTCGAGGGAGGTCAAGTCCACAAAACGCGAATCCAGGGCCACCAGGCCTCGAACATCCAGACCACAGCTGGTGAGCTGAAGAGCGACGCTCCGCGCCACGGGCACCCCGAAGCTGTGCCCACACAGGATCAGTTCATACAACAGGATCGATTCAGCACGTAGTCTCAGTAGTCTCAGCAGTCACGTCATCTTTCTCCACATGAGCTGTCAAAGTAGCAGCAAGTGGGTGGCAGGGCAAGACGTTCCGCAGTGACTCCTCCACCGAACCGAAGAGTTCGACGGCCCCAAGATGGAACTGGCCCAGGCCAAAGTAGGCGGCTGCCGGACCGATCAGGCGGGCACCCCCTCCAAAGAGGATCATCGAGGTCAGCACACTTCGGGGGCTTCCGGGGCTTCGAGAGTCGTCAGTCCAACTCAGGGTGCCTCAACGGCTCAAAGGC